GAGTCCCCCGTTGTGGGGAGATGGGCGGGGACAAGTCAAATAAATAAATAAATAAATAAAATAGATTTTTGCCACTTTATTTATTGAGATTTTTTATTTTTCCCCCTACATCTTGTTTTAAACTCTTTAACTATTAAAACTATTAACATTTTCTGATGGACATGAAGCTCTTTACCTGTTTCTGGCAGCTTAAGAGATGGGTATGTGCTGTCTCTGGGATTAATTTGTGGATGATTAAGCCACTGAAGATTTAGTAGGCTGGAAGGGTATTGCAGCACACCAATCTTGCATGTACCGCTTTGAAACCTGTAAGGATTGATGATAAGAGAGCAATATGCAGTTTTTTAGCTTTTCTCTTATGGCATTTTTACACACCTGGGATCTGGTCTTGATTATGGGTAACACCAAGCCTTCTTTAATTAAATGCTTTCTCATTGGCTGATCAGGAAACTGGTCCCATGGCCCACCAGGTGATCTTGATACAGAGCCAGATGAAGAATGGGCGAAAAACAGGAAAGATGAAAGTCGTGCTTTTCATGAATGGGATGAAGATGCTGATATAGATGAATCTGGTGAGCTGTCTCCCTTTTTCAGTTTTGCCTGTCCCAAAGATCTGACCATTGAGTATTGCATTTTAACCTCATAGTTCACTTTCACAAAAATGGTCAGCTATGAGAATTCAAGCTGGAATATTGTTATGTACGTATTGTGTCTGTTTTGAAACTGTTACACTGTCTGCCAAGTGCTGATCCTTGCCTTTTAAAACCTTCCATAGGGTGAGATCAGGGTAGATTACCGTCTTCCATCCCAATATTCATGCCTAAGTATTAACTCATTGTTGGAAGCTCTTCTCAAAGTTCTCAGGTCTTCTGAAATGAGGTGATGATCAGAGAGTGGTAGGGGTAGATCATGTTATTTCCCCATTTGAACTGCTTTTTTTTCCCCCTGATTAATTTATTAGTACCTCTGTTCTTTTCAAAAACTCTAAGCACTTTCAAAAATATTTACTCAGATTCTTTTGTTCTCCTGTGTTAAATTTGAATTGCTTTCCTTTGATTATTTTGTTTCTTAGCCACTTTGGGAGTTTTGTTAAACAGAAGAATGGCATAAAACTATATTACATTAAAAATGTTGTAACCTGCCTATATCTTCTAAAATAAAATTAGTTAAATCTAATCGGTTTTATTGAATAGGTAGTTATATAAATGTTGGTAACGTCTCTTGAATTTTCTTTTTGATAACAGGGTATTATGATGTTTCCCTACATGTATTGACAGTTGTTTATTTATTTATCTAAAACATTTATATAGCTGCCCATCTCATACTGAACTCTGGGCGGCTCCAAACCAACAATTAAAACAGCATCAATAATAAAACAACATAATATTTATATCTATTAAAACCATAAACATTAAGAAAAATCTGGCACCAATGTTAAACTTCCACATGCAGTCCATCGTTAAATCCTCTCATCCACCTCACCCTATCCCAGTGCTTGGGGGGATAAGCTAGGTGTTAAGTGCTTTTCAGAAGGCTAGAGGCCTGCTGAACTTCAAGGGGAAGAGTGTTCCATAGGGGAGGGGCTGCCATGGAAAAGGCATGCTTCCTAGATCCCATAAGACGGCAATGTTTAAGGGAAGGGATTAGGAATGTGCCCACCCTATGTGATCTGGTAGGACAGGTAGATATCCTAAAGGAGAGGCAGTCCCACAGATAACCTGGCCCTGTGCCATATAGGGCTTTAAAGGTAATAACCAGCACCTTGAATTGCACCTGGAAGGAAACAGGAGCTAGTGCAGCTCACGCAACAGAGATGTTACATGGGTAAAGGGCAGCTCCATGTAGAGCACATTGCAATAATCCAAGTGGGAAGTGGCCAAGGCATGAGTGTCCATGAGCAAGGCCTCCCAGTCGAGAAAAGGGCACAGTTGGCATGCCAGACAAATCTGTGCGAAGGTCCCCCAGCCATAGCTGCCATCTGCTCCTCGAGCAGGAACTGTGGGTCTAAGAGAATCCCCAAATTGTGCACCAACTCAATCTGGGGGAGTACCAGCCTGTCCAGAGATGAAATATTATCTGGACCTGGGGGCCAAAACCCCAGAGCCTCTCCATCTTGCCAGGGTTGACTCAAAAGGGGAGTTCCAGACCCTTACAGCTGCCAGGCACTCAGCCAGCACCACCACAGCATCACCTGTCCGGCTAGGGATGGAGATATATAACTAGGTATCATCAGCATACTGATGATACTGCACCCCATACTGATGGATGACCTCCCCCAGTGGTTTCAAGTAGATGTTAAAAAGGAAAGGCAAAAAGCTTAAACCCTGAGGCACCCCATATTGCAGATGCCTAGGGCTCAATCTGTCCTCCCCCAACACTGACTGAAAGAAGGAGAACCACCATAACACAGTGCCTCCCACTTCCAACCTCTGAAGCTGGTCCAGAAGGATATCATGGTCGAAAACCTCTGAGAGGTCCAGGAGGGCCAGAATGATTGCACCACCCCATCCTGAGCCCTTCAAAGGTCATCGACAAGTGTGACCAGTGCCATTTCAATGCTGTGACCCGGCTTGAATCCAGAATGAAAAGGGTCCAGATAATCCACTTCATCCAGGGCCCTCTGTAGCTGTGTGCCAACCACCCTCTCAACTACCTTCCCTAAAAAGGGAAGGTTGGAGACTGGGTGAAAGTTGTCTAATACTGTTGGGTCCAAGGATGGCCTCTTGAGAGAGGGGCACATCACCATCTCCTTCAAGGCAGCCGGTGCCACCCGCTCCTGCAAAGAGGCATTAATCACCACTTGGACACAACCACATGCCGCCTCCCAGGAAGCCCTAACCAACCAGGAAGGCCATGGGTCCAGAATGCAGGTGGCTAAGCTCACAGCCTCAAGGGCCCTGTCCACTTCCTCAAGAGCATCTGGCTCGAACTCCTTCCAGATAACAAGGCTCAGACATGTCTGTCACCTCCAAAGGATCTCCCAGCCTGAGTCCAACTCCGAGCAAAGTTGAGCGACTTTATCTGACAGATGCCGAGAATATTCCTCACAGTGACCCTGTAAGGGCTCCCCTGGCTCCTTCTTACTCAGGAGAGACCTGGTCCCCTGAAACAGGGCCACTGGTCAGCTACCTGCAGATGCTTTGCTGTCCTTATCGCCTCAAGTTAAGTCCTAATATAAGCTCTTTCCTGTGCTTGGTCGGCCTTGCTTGCGAAGTAACTATGCTTCGCCGTCCTTATCGTCTCAAGATAAGTCCTAATACAGGCTCTTTCCTGTGCTCGGTCGGCCTTGCTCTTTGTCTTCCTCCAGTGGCGCTCTAGGCGACTCTTCTGTTGCTTCATCTCTCCATTTGGTCTTCCAGCAATACAAAATATTTGTAGTTCCATCCAGAGGCTTCTATAACCCATTTCAGACATTATATCTTTTCAGTGGTAGAAAATAGGCCACATGAAATACAAAAGATTATATTTATAAATATTATAATTGCAAGCCTAGCATCTGTATTGTGTCTATGTTTTAGGTTGACTTTATGAAAGGATGTGTTAAGTTAAAATCTGGCTTGTTTGATTTTAGCTTAATGTCTTACATGAAGCCAGCTATTAACAAATTGTGGTTTATTCAACAAATCATGTTTAAGGAAACCATCATGTAATGTGAAGGACAAACTTGAAGTATATGTTTTGATGTAATGTCAACATTTTTTACAAGTTGAGAGCCAATGTGGTGAAGTATTGGATTAGGAATGGGGAGGTGAAGGTGTTGGATTAGGAGTGGGGAGACTCAGGGTCTGGTCCATCTTTAGCCATATAAGCTCACTGGGTGATTTTGGTTGAATCCCTCCCCCTCAGCCCAACAAGATGCTCCTGAACAAAATGCGGGCTATAAACCCAGTCTCTGTGTGTATAATTTATTTCTCTAAGCTCTAAATCCTTGCTGCTAGGCCATTGGGTGCCAATTGAAGCTTATTTTATGTAGCATATTGTCTTTGGAATGTAAAATAGCCTGTCTTTCCCAGTGTCAGATTTTGGCGGATGGCTACACAGAGGGAAGCAAAGATAGCAAAGGAATGTAAAAGCCGTAAAACCAATAAAAGAGGCAGTAAATGAAATCCCAGCCCTGGGAAAGAAGTAGGAAGAGACTCAGAATAACCCCACCTTGATTCTGCATGGTATAAGAGAGGACAGAGGGAAATGGTCAGGCTTTCAAGATACTGCTATTATTTCCAACAACAGTGGAGCTCCAGAAGCCCTTGTGATGTCTTGTTTCTTCACCTGGCCTATTTCAAAGGGCTGACACCAACAACAGTATTTTGAGGTTGACATTCTTTTATTGATAGCCTTACAGAAATTCTTGTCTTAGTAAACTATAGTTTAGATCAGCCATTCCTAGCCTGGCTTCCTCCACATGTTAAATCAACAATTCCTAGAATTCCCATACTCATACCAGTTGGAAATTCTGGGAATTTTAGTCTCAATATATTTGCAAGACTTTGGGAAGACCAGATTACAATGATGCTAATGATCTGCAATGACCCTAGGAGATTTCCCCCTCCTCTTCTTTCTGCAACTGGAAAAAATGTTTTGCAAACTTTTGCTTAACTGCAGTTTCACATTGTGGTCAAGTTCACATTTTAGGGCTTAGTATAATGTGAATTCTTTGATTTTGGCTTAACAGGATGTGTGTTAGAGAGCCAGTTTGGGGTAGTAGTTAAGATGCTGGCCTAGAAACCAGGAAACTCTGAGTTCTAGTCCTCCCTTAGGCATGAAAACTGGCTGGGTGACTTTGGGCCAGTCGCTCTCTCTCAGCCCAACCCACCTCATAGGGCTGTCATTGCAAGGAAAATAGGAGGAAGGAGTATTAGGTATGTTTGCCGCCTTGAGTTTTATTAAAAAAGTATAGATATATATATGTATATATAAAAGGCGGGATAAAAATATAATCTAGCCATTGCGGTTTATAAAATATGGCTTATGGTATAGCCATATTTGTTTTTTATTATGATTAGCACTTTAAGGGAGGGTAAGTTATAAGACCATAATATGTGTTAGTAATATGGTTGGCAATAATTTTTTGCTGTAACTATAAAACATAAGGAGGTTCATTTTATTTCATCATCAGAACAGATAAGATAATTGTGGGTTATGTAGATTTGGGGAAACCTGCAAATTTTGATTTCTTTCCATTTTTGATGCTTGAAGTTAAGATGCTAGATTAAAAATGAGCAGCCTATGAGTTCTAGTCCTCCCTTAGACATGGAGGTCAGCTGGTAACTTTGGGCCAGTCTCTCATAACCCAATTTCCCCTTCCTGGGGGTGAGGTAGGGGTTGTTGTGGGGAAAATAGAGAAGGGAGCATTATATATGCTAATTTTCCTTTAAGTGCTTGGAAACTGAGGTAGTGCAGCATAAGATTCCTGAGAGGTTAGACTCTGTGTAGGGGTTAGTATGACAGTGATAATGAAGGAATCTGTCGTGAACTTGTTCAGGTCTGGGGTATGTTGGTTGGAAAGCCAAATCTAGGGTGGAACCATACAGTGACCTCATCCTTTTAGAACCACCACAGCAGTAATTCAGCCTGACTGATGAGAAGCTTGTGGTTGCACTTCACTAACTGCCATCTCAAGTTTACAAAAAATCAAACCATTTATAAGTTTACATTAAATTAAAAGTAGTAGTTTCCTTATTTACTTCTTGCTTTCAGATTTAGTAAGTGGAGATCCCTGTACTGGTGGAAAGCATTATTTTGTAATAATGAAGTTACTTGATCAAATTGAAATCAAATGTCCTCCACTCTGAGCTAACAAGTTTCCTTACTTTGGGGCAAAATGAATGAAATTAGAGGTAATATATCTCTTTACTCAGCACTGTGGACCTATCGTGTCCGCAACCCAAACCTGAACTGCACCTTCCAGCACAACTTAATGGCCACTCCTAAATCCCACACTTCCTCCAAAGGCCTGAATGGTATTAAGACATTTAGTATGTGTATTGTTTCTTACTGTCTTTCTGCAGACTCCATAATGTTGCTTATCCTGAAACAGAATACTGTGATGTGTGTATCTGTGTATGCTGCCCCATTCAGACAACTACATGGGGGGCGGGGGAAGAGCTACAGAATGGCCCCCTTCACTGTTTAGGCATATGTCTGAGCAGGGCTCTTGTTTCTCCAACTTCTAGGAGAAGTTCTGCTTTCTCTTCTCTTCTCAGACAGGAAGTCATGTTGCGCCTAGATTATCTCTGCATACCATTAGTGGTACTTGCATTATTGGTTGACTACTTAATGATGGTTTAAAGTTACAGCGGCCTCGGAAAAAGTGCTTTATGACCTATATTCGCACTTACGACCATTGCAAACCTTCACACCACCTCCTGTGGTCATTTGATCATGATTCGCAACCTTTTTTATGATGGTCATTAAGTGAATCACCATGGTTGTTAAGCAAATCATGTGGGCGTTAAGTGAATTCTGGCAAAAACGTTCATTGGGGAAGCTGGATTTGCTTAATGACCATGTGATTCAGTTTATGACCTTCGTAAAAATTGTTGTAAAATTGGGTCTGGTTACATGGTGACTCACTTAACCACCCTGCTTAATGACTAATTTTACAGTCCCTATTGTGGACGTTAAGTGAGGACTACCTGTAGTTTACAGCATTTATTTTACTGTTAAATGTCTCTTCTCATTTTGTTTTTTTTAATAGAAGAAAATGGAGAAGAATCCTTGGCTATCAGCATTGTTCAGAAAGAGAAGGACTTACTTCAAGGGATAATCCATAACATTCTGCCACGTGTAGGCTCATCAGTCAAAACTATTGTACTGGCCTACAGTTCGGCCATATCTAATAAAATGGTACAGTATATACAATAAGTGATTCTCTAGAGAGTAAAAATAGCTTGAATGTATTTTAAAAATGTGTGCCACCTGTTTTTTATGGTTGACATTTAAGATGAATTAATAAAATGTAAAGATGTTGGAGAAGCATGTTGAAAATAGTTTTTGCTATTTTTTGCATTCCTTTTATAATTCAGCCTTTTTGAACCATTTTTAATATAGGTCAGACAGATCTTAGAACTTTGTCCTAACCTGGAATACCTTGATCTCACTCAGACGGACATTTCTGATTCTGCATTCGAAAGGTTGGTAGCTTATATTTTAAGGAATGTGTGTATGAGACAGATTGGTTTACTTGTTATATGTTATCATTCCCATCACTTACAGGTAGTCCTTGTTTAACCATTCGTTCAGCAACTGTTTGAAATTATGATGGTGCTGAACAAATGGTAGTTATGACTGGTTCTTGAAGTTACCAGTTAGGGTTAGGGTTAGAGCACCCTGTTGCAGCACCACCATGATCACGTGATCAAAATTTGGGTGCTTGACAACCGGTCTGCATTTATGACTTCAGCATGATCTCCCCCCACCTGCCTATCTCCCCCCTTTTGGCAGCCCTGCACTTTGCTGCCACTACCTACCCTGCCACCCCCAGCTGACCTTTGCCATCTTCTTCCGCTGCTGGCCTGGAATCCAGGCGCTGGGCGAGGGTGCAGCCCTGGGATGCGTGCAGTGGGTGGGGCAGGGTGGCAGAGCTTCATCTGCTGAAGGGAGCTCACTGAGCCTGGCTGGGGAAGAGGCAACAGGACAGAGCCGGCAGTTTGTGCAGGGCAGGAGAGGTGTGAGATCCTTGCCTAATGAGAGGGGTGCCTTGGGAAGCATGTTGGCATGAGCAATACCCTTGAAGGGTAGATGGCCTTGAAGGGTAGATGGCCTCTGAAAAGCTTAGCACAGCTGCTTCCAAGGCCTTCCCCAGTTGTTTTTGCTTCAGTGGCAGCTCCAGTGGAAGTGTGTGCATATCTGTGGGGTAATTTGAAGAGAGTAGCTGCACTGAGCATTCTGGAATACGTGGCTGCAGGAATGCAGCCAATGTCTTTTGCACAGCTCCCTTTCAGAGGCTTTGCACAGTCCTGCTGAATAGCATGTTTTCCCCTGCAAGCCTCTGGTAAGACGTTGTGCTTCTTTCTGGGTATCAGGGCAGATTGTGTGTTTAGCATTTAGCCTAGCAGCACCTAGACATAATAAGCTAATACATAATCATGAGATGACATAATTATAGGAACTTTATACTTCACCGACAGGAATGATCATACATGTATAATAGAGGCTGAGCAAGAAATATCTGTGGCTGTTAAATCAGAAATTCATACAGTAATATATTTTCTCGGACGGCTTTGTAAAATAGGAAAAATTCTAGTTGTGAAAAACTTTGAAAAATGCTGTAATAAGTCAAGATCTGCAGTTTTGATAGGTGACAACTACTCACTGTCTAAGGAAATAATTACCAAGGGGGCAGTTTTAGTGTCTTTGGGAAGTTTCTGTAGCCAGGGACTTCAGGTGCCTTGAAGCAGCAGCTTTTGACAGTGCATGTTTTCTCCATCCCTGCTAAGACAGACAGTGGGGGAAGCCTCGCAAGCCATGAATTCAGTGTGACTTGAAGCAGTTGTTTTTCTACAGGCTGTATTCCCTCTAGGATTTTTTAAATGGAAAAGCTAGATAAGCTGCCAAGTGGTAACTGTAACAAGGCAGAGGATGTGAAGGAGAAGAAGCTGCTTCCTACATTGGGCTGCATCTATTCCACATTGGCTTCCACCTCTGAGGGTGTACAGTCTGTGCCTTTCTCCTCCTCTTGTCATATTTCTTGCTCATTATTTGTCTGAACCATTTCACAGACTGGTCGTGAAAACTTTTGATTTTTCCCTTTGAGCCTGAGACCTGGGAAAAACACGAAACGTGAATCCTAGGACTTTTGCACAGTTGCAGTGCTGCTAGCCTCAAATAGTGCTGGAAACACTCTGCCAGAGACTGCAAATAGCTTTATGCTTGGCCTTGCTCTAAAATGCAACAACTGGCTTGCACTTCATGAGCTGTACGTTGGATTGCACAGAAAAGATGCATCTGTATTTAAGTTATAATTTTGCTAGTCGAACAGTTGCTTATTTAGAGGTATTCTCAGTTAGAAAATAACATACATGGCAGGATTCCTATTTACTTAGGTGTTTTTTTCTAGTATACATATCTACATTTTCATTTCAGGGTGAAGCTTGAACATGTTCATTGTATATCATATTGCTGTTATAGTTTTTTAGTATTTGCTTTTGGGATAGATTTTTAATGTACTATTAGCTGCCATATTGGCCATATAAGCTGTCTAAATAAATACATAAATATTACAAGATTAATTTCACACAATTATTAATATTTGTTTCAGTTGGTCTTGGGTTGGTTGCTGCCAGAGTCTCCGGCATCTTGATCTCTCTGGATGTGAAAGAATAACAGATATGGCTGTAAGAAAGATTTCTAAAGCCCTGGGGATTTTGTCTTCCCACGAAATAGGATTTCAGAAAAGTTGTCGAAACAGAAAAGGAAAAACTGTGTGGAAAAACAAAGTGATGGCCTTGCAGTCCAGCAAAAAGGATTGTAGCCTGCATTATATAACAAATGAAGATGTGATTAAGGAAGAAGGAAATGAAAGCCATTGGAGTGTACCGGACAGATCAGAGAGTTTCAACTCTGCCTATATCTGGATGTTAGATGCCAAAGATCTGGCCGATATTGAAGATGCTGCTGAGTGGAAGCACAGAAATCTGGAAGGAGATTGTGTGATAGAACCAGCCTCCCCTTTCCCTTGTTCTGCGTCCTGCTGCAATAAAGACATTTTTGGCTTAAGGACTAGCATCTGCTGGCAGCAGCAGCGTTGTGCTTCTGCGGCCCTGACCTACTGCGGCCACTCTTTTTGTTGCGCTGGGTCGGCATTAAAAACTCTGCAGGCGCTCCCACCATCCCCTGGGCTACCTAACCATGCACCAAGGACTAGTAGGCAGACAGAGGGGAAAGACTTGACACACCTCAGGAGTGCAAAATCGGACCAAGAGACAGCCCGAGTTCTTCAGTTTCTCAGTTTGTCAGGATGTTATCAGATAACAGATAATGGTCTCAGGTAAGTAATCGGTTGCAAGAGGTCAGCGTAGCTGTTTTGAAAAAGCCAGAGCACAAATGCACGTGACTAGTCTTTTCTTTGGTATTTCCGTTTCTCACACATTGAGTGATAGCAATAGCAGTGGGGTTTTTTCCCGTTGAGAGAATCCAGAATAGGTAATCCATACCTGATCCCAGAAGGCTTTTTTTACAGTCTGTTGGGGTACCTCAATGAGAGTACTGCTGGGGGACGTGAAAAGCTTT